CAGCATAAATTTTGATGCAATAACCAAACATACACATCGAAAAGTTCATGGCTGTAGCAACAGTGTTTTAAAGGTGATGAACATCCCCTGAGAGAATTTTAACATGCAAACTGTCAGCTAAAGCAAAGCATGCTGTCAGAATGCAAATTAAAGTGCTGCTGCTGCTAAAAATCAAAATTGAAAAAAAAAAAAATGGACAAGACAAGAAGTTTTTGGACAACTAGTCAACCATATATGACCCATACAAATTGTGCATGTATGAGTTTCTTACATATGGACGTGGGGCGGCTGGAAGCGACCCTGGTTGATGTTGTAGAAGGTGAAGGCTTGAGTCGGGTTGGCGCTGTATTCGTCCACCTCTACCACTCCTCTTCCGCTTCTCTGTGACTGTTGCTGCTGTCGTCGGGCTGCCATGATTTCGGAAAGTGTGAAAGCCATGGCAACACACACTAGGCTATCGCTTTCTCTCTCACACACGCGCACTTGTCTGGCAGTGCTTGTTTAAAGGGCCTCCACTGGGGTGAGATGGTCTTGTGTACGTTTTTGGGACAGTCCAGGACCGTATTCAGTGGTTGGCCCACCGTACAGCTCCGCTGGTGGGATAGTGAGCCTGCATGCTTCCCCTCAATCACAATACACCAGTGGCCACAATACACCTGTGGAAAAAAGGTACGAGATACAAGATAAAGGGAGATGTGAGCGGTGACAGCGGCATATTATCAAAACCCACAATCAGACGAGCGGTTGACGGCGGTATGTCCCACTCTCCTGTGTGTTAGCGCCGAGATCTTACACAAAGCCATGGTAACCATTCTGTCACGATTTCTATGTCTAACAATAGAGTTCCCTGCACTTTCAAGACGGCAGAAAAAAAGATGCGACGCAACAGAGACAATTGTTTGGGAAGAAAGAGGACACAAAAGCCCTCTGAAAGAAAGGGGAGCTAAAATTTTATTTTGAACTGAAATAACAAGGAGGGAAGAAGCTGAAAGCTTTCTACTCCATTCCTTGAGAAATACACGAGTGCTCAAACCATTTAGAAAGACCTAAAAAAAATTATTATTATTTTTTTTTTAATAATTATTCTACATAAAAGATGGATGATGACTAAGCAAACTAAGTAAAACTATGTGGGACAGAAGCTTTGAATAATAGTAGCAGTAGATGGTCAAGTGAAAACTAAACAACAATATCATACATTACTCTTACAAAAAAAAGTAATGTGGCGATACCATGGTAAACTAAAGGAATCAGATGTTTAAAGAATGATATTTAGATATAAACCATGGGACTGAATGTTTACTTAAATGAACTATGAAGAATACCAATGGTATTAACATACTACATGTCAAAAAACATGGTATTATCTCTGTATCATGTACAAAAATTAATACCAACATATTTGCTGGCATTTTTGTGAGTGTAACATGGTTCACAAAAAGTCTAAATTAACTACCAGTTTAATTGGCTTGACTGCATGATAACTTGCTTTTCACTGAGTCTAATTTTACAAGATGTCCTATGCCAGACAAACACTATGTACGCTGTTAAGGAATTTGTTTAGATAACAAATAAACACAACACAGAATATTAATGCCAAAAATCAATCACGCACGTTTATCAAGCGTTCAGAAATTGACTGTATCTATGGTAACAGTCTCCGCTTTCCAAACAGACGAGCATCATTTATAAAAGCGCACTCTTATACATATTCATGCATATTCAAAAGATATGCGGTGCTGATTTACATACCAGAAATATACCTACCTATTCAAACTCAAGAGTCTGACGCCAAACGTTTTCGGAAACGTGCAGGTAAAGACGCCTAGTAAATAACCGGGAAGAGCTCCTGTTTGCAGAGGACCGCGCTGGTTTGTTTGAACTGAAGTCGCGTGGTGCCCCAGTGTGTGTGTGTGTGTTTGTGTGTGTGTGTGTGTGTTTCTCGCGGTCGGAGACACTCCCCCTCCGCTGCTTTCTCTCCTCCTCTTGCGAATCCTACTATGGCCAAGAGCTTTCAGTCATGTAACTTCAGTAATAATCATAAAAAAGTCTCTCGCTGTTGCTAATAGAACCGGTTTTGTTATTGATGTAACGTTAACTTACTGTATTCACAGAGAAAGAATCCAAATCATTTGCGCCATTCGTGACGCATTATGATATTATATTCGATAATAATCGATAGTAATTTCACAAAATCCATGTTATTGTGTTATTTGATAGTTTCGTACACAATTAATTGTACGTTTGGACGTTTTATATCGTTGTATACACCTTAAACGCTAAAGCGCGCTCAAACAGAAATCTTTCCTCAGCGGAATCAAAACCAACGTCTCCCATTCAACCAATCAGCCTCTAACTGTGTCAACGTCACGTACGTAATTAATATTCATGAGACAATCCTTTCCCGTAGTAGGATGTGTTCATTCGCTCAAGTCAGTTGTTTCAGTCGGAGAGGATGGCTTAATATTAAATATATCTACCATCTATATCTATAACTTATCTGTGCTGTCTAACCAAAGATGGTATTTTTGTCTGACCTTGACTTGCATGTAAGTAGCAATGGCTTTTTGAAATTTAATCATAGATAAAGGTGTACTAATCGGATATCAGTCGATCTTGATCTGTCTGGTAGTTAAAAAAATACGAATATCAACCTTTTTACTTTACAAATTAAGTTCAAATATTCTGAAAAAGCTAGCAAAAATAATCTGTAAAAAAAAATGAATTCGAAATTGCTTGCGACATCTTGGTGCACACTGCCCCTTTGTGGGGAGACATCTGCATTATATTTTAGGATGTATTAACACAAGAGATCACAAATCATTCACAGTGCCGTTAGGTGACACTAGGGTCATTTTTCCTAATTTTAACTTCCACTTAATTAATTTTAACTAATATACTATTAATTAGTATATGATCAACACGTTTCAAATGAAAGGTCAGCACAACACACACAGCATAAGATTTGAATGATTTATTAATAAAGTGAGGTCTTAACAATAGTTCCCATTCTCTTCTACACATCCTCTGGGGTTGATTTCACACTGCAGAACTGTTCATTCTTCTGTAATGCGGTCATTTATCATGATGGGAAGCATACTATCAAACACAGCTTTCCAGAACAGTCCTGTACATGTTAGACTGTCACCTTCCCCAGTATATTGTTTCCTTCTACTGTAAATATTAACTTAAAAAAACTAACATTTGTACATCATTTACACATCTGTATTCATAAAGCTTACAAATCACGCCAGCAGCAGTCTTGAGTCACTCTCTCCATCTGAGGGGCAAAGTACTTATATCTGTGTGTGAAGCCATGTGTGTATTAGTTGATTTGACATGTCAAACATTCGTCGTCTTCTTTTCTAACGGCAACAGTTCCTCAAATAGTCACATGCCTTAGTTTAGTAATCAAATGAGACTATAACATGTGATTAAAAAAATAAATAAAAATCAAAGACAACCTGCGGTTATCTCAAATCATAGATTACCGTGATAGCATAATAATACGGATTAGGTAATGCATTATGTGTGCATGCATGAAGGTATGTTTATTTATGCTGGATGCAAGAGTGAATGTGTTTCCCTGTCCATATGTGGATATTAGAAATACAAGCATGAATAAGTGCTCATATAACAAAGCAGCTTTAGAATGATCACTCCGTCCCTCCCTCCCAAACTGGAATATATGCAAAACAAAGCAGAATACTGTAAAATGACAGTTAATATTATCTGTATTTCTGTGACTTTATGGCACATTTAGATGTTTGTGGTTTGGTTTTTGTTTTTCTGCCTTTTCACTCACTCCTCTACAGTCCATACACTTGTAAAAATATCACTTAATCAGTTTTAACAAAATGGGCAAATAATATTAAATAAAACTGTACCAGAACTGCATAGAGACACTCACACTATCATTTTTTGTTTGCTTGCTTTCCTACAAGCGCATTCTGCTAATTTATGAGGTGAAATTATCTGATCTCTGGATTTTTTCAGTCAGCCAACATTCACATACTTCAGGAATGTCATCTGTTCAACAAACAGCCTCTGATTTTCATCCACAGTTCAACAAGAAGAGCAAAATATGTGTCTTTGTGCACAGCACAAAGGTGATATGTTATTACTATGTAATAAATGTGTTATAACTATGTAATAGACCATAAGACTCTTAATCCAAATGGAATTCTTTGTTGTTATGAATCAAAATGCTGCCATTTCCATGAGTTTTATGACACAACCAGCTCAAACAAAAATCTGACTTGCCAAAAATCACCATATTTACAATTTCTCCAAATGTTCCATGCACAATAACAGCCAGGTTAATGACAAACTCATTGCATCATGTGAAATTAAAACTCATGATAGAAACTTATACTTGTCAGGCTAGGTACAGACCCAATGAAACATTATGGTACTTCAACACTTTTTTATATTAAACTGCAAAAAAACTTATTATGAGACGATTGTTATGAAATCTGTTTCTGTTTTAGGAGAGAGATAGGTGAGAATATCTTTCTGCATCCTGTAGAGGGGAAGTTTGAACATTTCATGTTTCTACAACCAAAGTAAAACATCTCTATACAACAAAAACATTCCTTATTCTCTACAATGTAAAATTCAAGTGCAATTGAAGCTCCAAATACTAGTTAAACAACGTACACGTAACTAACTCTCGTACCGCCAGGTAGTCTTTGTCTTTTATCTTGTTTTTTTTTTCTTTTTCTTTCATTTATCTGGCTTTGTCTTTCATGTTGTGGTCAGAGCAGAAAGCGAATCCTTTCTCATACAGTTTGAAAAGAAAACTTTAAGTGCACTAGGATATTAAAACCCCTTGTGCACATTCGGGGCATGAAAATAACATTTTCAAAACAAGAATATATATCTGTGTGTGTCTGTATGTGTCCTAATACGCCATAAGCTTGCACATAATTTTTTGTTCGCACACACACACACACATCATGTTCGCACACACACACACACACACACACACACACACACACACACACACATATATATACATACACACATATACAAATATATACTGTAGATATCAAACATCCAAAGAGGGCTTTTGCAAAATCAAGCACATAAATATTAGCAAACAAAAAACAAACAAAGACAAAAATGGACAAATGGACAAATCTCAGACAGGAAGAAGGCCAAACGTCTTTATCTTGCAGTAGTGAGGCCTTCTGGGAGCTAGTGGAGAAAAGACAGGAAGAGAGACGGGGATAGAGCCGGGGTCGTGGAAGAAATGTTCGTGATTCTATTTATACGGCCGTAGAAACCTGGAGACTTTGGAGCGTAGCAGTTTGATAAAGGAACGTGGGAACATCTCCTTTGATTCCTGCACGGTGTATTTAAAGTAGTTGTGAGGGTGAGCCAGCACATCAAACAGAGCTTTAATCAGCTTCTTATCCTGAAAACACAGAAACAGAGAATTAAAAGTGGTAGATAAAGTTAAGTTTGTCTGCAGTTGCTTGCTCTAGTGAAAACATACACTCACTTTTAATATCTCCTGGTGGTTTTCTGAGGCGTAAAGTCGACCATCTCGAACAATGTCCTCTATAAGTTGCTGGTAGTCTTCTGTAATGACAAACACACATTGCTTTCATCAACAAAAACTGATATATGTAGTATTTATTATTTATGTATTTTTGTTTTACGTTTTTTGTTTTTAAACGTTTTTTCTCTACTGATTTTCAAATCTATTTTGTACCATATACCGATTTTGGCAATATTTATGAATGTAAAAAGGCTGTATTTATGTAATAAAAAATACAGTAAAAACAGTAATATTGTGAAATATTATTACAATTTAAAATAACTCTTTTCTATTTTAATATATTTTAAAATAATTAAAAATCTATTTATTTAAAATTTATTTTTATGTCATTTATTCCTGTGATGGTTAAGCTGAATTTTCAGCATCATTACACCAGTCTTCAGTGCCACATGATCCCTCAGAAATCATACTAATATGCTGATTTGCTGCTTAATAAACATTTCTGATAATCATGTTGTGAAGAGTTGTGCTGCTTAATATTTTTGTGGACACCGTGATACATTTTTTCCCCCAGGAATCCAGGAGAAAAAATAAATAAAATAAAATAAAATAAGCATTTATTTGAAATAGAAATCTTTTGTAACATTATAAATGTCACTTTTTAGCAATTTAATGCATTCTTACTGAATAAAAGTATTATTCATTTCTTTTTTTTAATCTGACCTCAAACTTCTGAATTGTGTATTAATTATAAACACTGACTAAATCTACTGTACCATTCACTTCTAATGTAACCTTACTGTATGTGAATGTGGGTGCCTAAATGTATATTGTTGTGTTTGGACTTTATCTTACCATCGTAAGTGACATACGGAACCTGAAATCCCTTTCCACTGTTTCCCTCATTAGATTTGAACTGGATCCACAGCTTGCGTGAGCGGGAGGTGAAGGCGATTGGTCGCTCATAAGTTTGGCATGTCTCATAAGTTGTAATGGAAGTGGGCTGGGCTAAAAAGAGAGGGGAGGAGCTCAGTAACGTGGATTCTTGCTGCAATAATTAACCAGCATCCAAAACGATAGGTATACCATACCACTCTTCCTCATGACAAGAACATCCCCGCACTCATCCTCAATAGGGAGAAAGATTTCTGGTACAACAATAAGGATGCGCCTCTTGTTCGGAGGGTTAATGGTCCAGACACAGTTCACATTAGATGGATAGTCGCCAGGATAGTTGGGAGATTCGATGTAGCCCATGAAATCTCCCAGCTCACCACCACATAGCTGATCTGTAAGGGATAAAACAGACAGAGCCTTGAATTCACTGCTTATTATGTCATCTGTGAGTGGATTTGCAAGTATCTGACTTACTTTTGCAGTGAGATACATTGTTAGCGCCGTCAAAATCTGTAGTGGTGTTTCCAGGGCAGGTGATGCAGTAGTTCTGTCCCGACTCAGACTGGTAGGTACCAGCCGGACACCGGATGCACCGGTGCGTGGTGGCATTATAATAATGCCCAAGAGCACAGTGAACTGGAAATATGGGAGAAGAGAGAATGCAAAATATATAAGAAATAAGCACGCTTAAGTGTTAACCAGGAGTCGCTGTGTTTCCCAGCATACCTTTGGCTTCACAGTCTCTAAAGGACGTGCTGCCCGTGTGTTTAGTCATGAGTCCTCCTCCACAACAGAAACACAACACTCGGCCCGGCTCAGGCTGGAAGGTTCCCAGCGGGCAAGGCTGACACGGACGGAAACCATCAGCAGAGAACTGACCGGCAGGACACTGGCCTACAACCAGAGAAAGAATTACGCAACATTTTAAACATTTAATAAATAAAATCAGAAATTATACTACCATTTAAAAGCTGATAGTGGTTTTTAAAAAATGTTTTTGAAAGAAGTCTCTTATGTTCGCTAAGGCTGCATTTATTTAAACAAAAAAACCCCCAGTAAAAATAGCAATATTGTGATACAGCATTACAAATGAAAATTGTGTTTTCAATTTTAAAATGCAATTTATTCCTGTGATGCAAAGCTGAATTTTCAGCATCATTACTCCAGTCTGTCACATGATTCTTCAGAAATCATTCTAATATGCTGATTTGCTGCTCAAAAACATTTCTCATTATCATCAATGTTGAAGACTGTTGTGCTGCTTAATTGTTTTGTGAAAACTGTCATACATTTTTTTCAGGATTCTTTGATGCCCCTATGCTGAATAAAAAAATATATATAATAATAATAATAATTAAAAAAATATATATATATAAGAATAGGGGACAGTTAATCTAAAAAGGAAAACAACATAAATTTCAGTCTGCTAATTACAAAAAAAATGATCAAACTGGCTTTACAAAACTTAAAGAATATAGAAAACAAGCTGTCTAGACTACTTTTATGGTGATTTTTTGGTCCCTTTTGACAGCTTCACAGACTCTGTTCCTATTCACTACCACTGTATAGAAATGCACAGCCTGGATATTTAGCTAAATAAGTAGATAAACGGAAAAGTGGTTCATGATGTTCATCAGTTATGCATCATGGAATTTTAATTCCACAAGGGGGAGCTAAAAGCAAAGAGATCTCAATCAATAGTCAATTGAACTGAAGTACTGAAGTATTATGAGCATTATTTGCACTGCGGCACGTATGAGAATCACCTAAAAATGGATTAGAATTGGGTTGTGGTTGTGCTTGAGCAGCTCAAATGGTCAAATTGGGCTTCTACCTACCAACTGATCCAGACTTTCCTTAGTCTTTCATTAGAAATCTCACATTTGCATGATAATGAGCAATTCTGGGATTTCAATTCAGGCTATATTGACCCTGAATTTCAAAATGTATGGATTAATTTTAAAAAAGGGGATGGTCTTTCCAATAATCAATAGGTGTTTTATTACCATCACAAAGCTATTCATTGACTGAGTGTTTGATAACTTGTATCCACACACACCTCCGCATTCGGAGACGTTCTTGGCCCCTGCGATGCCCTGTCCCTCGGTGCTGGGGCAGGGCTCGCAGGACAGCTGGCCCTCTCTGTCCTGATAGGTTCCTGGTGGACATATCATGCACTGTTCCTGTTCTCCGCTGTAGAACGTTCCCACACCGCAGCTGACTGGGAGACACATGAACACACAGAAGCGCACCCAGACATAGACTTATGAAACTGTCTTCAATATACCAGATCAGAAAACAAAAGCGTTTCCCTGAATGCTCACCACACTTCCCGTCGGTGAGGACTTGTCCTATACTGCAGGTCTCATCTCCCTCTGTCTGCCGCACGGCACGCTGGGCCACCTCGTACGCCGTGCCAGAGAACTGAATGTAGAACTGCTGCTTACTGATGGACTTCCTTAGTGTGCGCATAGCATTCTGCAGCCTCTGTTTGGTCTTCTCACGCACACAGTCCACATTACATGATTCTGACACATATATAAAGATGAAAACAATCACATTTACATTCTAAAGTCACAGATGGTACCACATGGAAATTGTGAACGCAGAGAGAACTACTGTACACACATGAAGGCAATGTTACCTGAGGCTTCCTCTTCTTTCATTTCCATCTCAAACTCCGCTGTGATGTGGGAGACTTCCTTGGATGGAGACTTGCGGCCACGACGGCGCTTTTTGGACGAGTCGCACTTCAGATTCACAAATGTCACCTGACAGTCATCTGTGCAGGGGAACTGACCAGCTGCTGAAAGAAAAGGAAAGATAAAAGGAGAAGAAAAAATGAAAAGCAATCAAGAAAAGGAGAAGCAAAAAAAAAAGTAAATGAAACCAAAAAAAGGAAGAGAAGATATGGGATAGGAAAAAAATAGGAGACAGAAAATGGAAATGGGTAAAAAGGTGAAAAAAAGGAGATGAGAAAGAAAAAGAGAAAAGGGAATGAAAAAAGAAGAGAAGGGAAAAGGGTGAAGAGAAAAAGCAAACAAAACAAAACAAGAAAAAGAAATATGAAATGGAGAAGAAAAAAGGATAGTAAACAGGAAGAGGAAATGGGGGAAAAAAAATAAAAGCAACGGAGAAGAGAAAAAGGAAATCAGAAGCAAAAAGAAGTGAAAAGGAGAAGATAATAGGTAATGGGAACATGAAGAGAAAAAGGGAAAGAGAAACAAGGAAGAAGAAAAATAGGAAAAGGAGAAGAAAATGTAAAGGAAGCAGGACAATTGCAAGGAAAGGATAAAGGACAATGTAGAAGAGGAAAAAAGGAAAGAAAGTAGGAATCAGAAAACAGAAAGGGAAAAGGAAAAGGAAGAGGAGACGTGAAAAGAAAATGTAAAGGAAACAGGAAATGAAGGACAAAAAATACATAAAACAGGAAAATTGAAAGGAAAGGAAATAGGACAAAGAAAAAGAGAAAAGGGAAAGAAAACAGGAGAAAGGAAATGAGAAGGGAATAGGAATATCAAAAAAGAAAAGAAACAGGAAAAATATAAAAGTAACAGGACACAGAAGAGGAGGAAAACGGAACGAAAACAGGAAACAAGAAGAAAAAGGAAAGGAAACGGGACAAAGGAGAATAGAGAGAATGCATTCAGTATTTATCATTTTATGAAAACAATTTTTAAATGTGCAGTGTTTGGCATGTTATTTCTCACGCTGCAGGCCCTGCTTTCCCATATCCCTGTGTTTCTCCTTATTGCGGGGTCTCAGGTGGCACTTGGCGTCTTTGATCTTAAAGCGTGCTTTCTGCTTCACAGGCTGGGCCAGCATCTCTGATGGACAGGAAATCGGCAAAGTCTCACTTTCACTTGCACGGTTTGGATAATAATCATGGAAAACAACAAAATATGAGGCCTTTTACAAATCCAACATTCAGACACACTAAATCTGTCTTGTGGGCTGAGCGGACCATTCCAAAGTATTAAAAATGTGAGTATCTAGTTTAGCACAACAAGTCCAAAGTCAGTGAGAGAATGAAGGGAGACGAAGGGTCAGGAGTTGAAGAGCGAACACACTGCGGTTGAGGACTTCAGCTGGTCTTCTAGAATCATATCGAGCGTGTGGCGGTTTTGGACATGGCGGTAGGAGTTTGGTAGTGAACCTTTAAGAATGTTTTTTTTTTTTTTCTAGAATGTGTGAATCGAGCGTTAACCGTCTGTTTACTCGTTCTCCCTGGGCCCCGTGTGTAGAGGCCCTCAGGAGCCGCTGTGGTAGAATCCTGTCTGTGTATTTCAAATCTGTCAGCATGTAGATGTGCAGCCAGCACAGAGTCATTTACTCAGGTTCACAGCATTCCTATGTATGCCGTCCAAAACAAGAAACGGCGTGTGTGTGTGTGTATGCGAGAGTATTTCTAAGCAGTCTGTCTGTCTGTCTGTCTGTGCCTTGCTTTGCTGTCCAAAATCTACACAACGAACCACATGGGGAATGTCGAAATCTGAGAGCTGGGAAAGAGAGAGTACTGGGGATAATAGTAGCGTGTTTGTGACCTCAGCAGGGTTGAATGATAGGACCTGTCCTAATTCTCCTCGCAGATCTGCGTTTGAGCCCTTTTTTTAGTGATCCAATGTCTATAATGCAATGTAATGGAGTGGAACAGGTCTTGCCACAAGACGTGTTTACAGTTGTCCTATCTAATCTCTGCTGGAGGGGCCACAAAAGTCAGATAGGTATTCTGGGACAAGGCAAAGGCATGTGAACGTCAGCACTGCCATTGTACTGAGTGAACCGAGGCTGAGAAGTAAAGCACAGAAAGGAATGGAATGGAAAGGAAACAAGAAAAAAGAGAGGAGATAAGATGAAGAAGAAATGAAGATAAGAGAAACACCTGAGCCTCTTAGGGAAAGGAAAGGAAAGGAAAGGAAAGGAAAGGAAAGGAAAGGAAAGGAAAGGAAAGGGAAAATAGAAAAAGGGGAAAAGACCATGGAAAGAAAAAAACAGAAGAAAAGATAAAGAAAAGGAAAGGAAACAGGGAAAGGGAGAAGAGATAAAGGAAAGGAAAGGAAAGGAAAGGAAAGGAAAGGAAAGGAAAGGGAAAAGGAAAAGGAAACTGGAGAAGAGATAAAGAAAAATAAAGGAACTGTAAATGAAAGGAAACAGGAAAAAAGAAGAAAAGAAGAGATAAAGGAAAGGAAACAGGAAATGGGGTAAGAGATAAATAAAAGGAAAAGAAACAGGAAAAAGTAGAGGAGATGGGAAAGGAAAGTGGAAAAGAGGAAATGAGAGAGGAAAAGGGAGAGGAAATGAAAGAAAAGGAAAAGATGAAGGGAAAGCAGGAAAAGAAACAGGAAAGGGAAACAAGGAAATAGAGAAGAGGAAAAAGGAAAGAGAAGAAAAAGGAGATGAATGGAAAGAAACAGAAAATGCAAAAGAGAAAAGGATCAAAAGGCAAATGAAAGAAAAGGGAAGAAAAAGAAAAGGAAAAAACAGAAACGGGGAAAAAAGGAAAATAAATCAGGAAAAAGAACAAGAGAAACAGGAAAAGCAAGGAAAGGAAACAGAAACATTTTGGAAAGGAAACAAGAAAATAGATAATAAGGAAAGGAAAGGAATGTAATGGAAAGAAACAGAAAAGGAAGAACAGAATAGTAAAGGAAACAAAAAGCAGCTGAAGAAGAAAACAAGAGGAAAGAGAAGAGAAATGGAAAGGAAAAAGAAAAAAGAATTGGGAAGAAATTAAATGGTAAAATAAATAAGAGAAAGAAAAGGAAAGCGAAAAGAAAAAAGAATGGAAGGAAACATGAAAAGCAAGTGTTCGGTCTTATGAGTGTTTCTATGAATCGAATGATGTAGTGCACTATATTTTGCAGGGCATACTATACTTTATAGTGCAAGCTAGCTTTGTAATGCATGCTAGGCTACTGTTTGTAGTGCATACTTGACTGTAGTATTGTACATGCATGTTTATGAGAGAGAATGTAGCCTTTGTCTCAGAGCTGTGCAGATAAACCACAGTTTAACAAATGAGTACAGGACGTAGACAGATGTAAGATGTACCTGTGCAGGTTTGCAGGGAGCTACTGCTGGAAGTAGTGACGTTCCTCTTCACTGGAACTTTACCTGGCTGGACAGGTACACCGCAGCTCAGAGTGTAACTGTTCTCAGAGTCTAAATCACACACACACACACACACAGAGAGAGAGAAAACTTTTAAACAGATGCTCCAGGTCCAGGTGCTGCATGCACCTGAGTAATGTTTTGTAGTGTATGTGCATGATGTATGTGTGTGTGTGTGTGTGTGTGTGTGTGGAGAGAGGGTTGGCTGTCAGGATGACAGAGTACTGGGAAGTTGTCTAGAGAGTCATTGGCCTGACTTTGGCCTTGCCACAAATCGTCCAATGGCAGGCTGAATATTTCTGTTGGCGTGAGGCTTCAGACCCCGGGTGAACAGGATTAAAAGAGGTTTTCTACAGCTTTAGTGCTCACTGTGTGAACCCGGGGAGACCATTAACACACACGTACAGAGAATCCAAAAGTTATAAACACACACACTCACAAAGACAAATACTCATATACTCAAATTCACATGGATCTTATTTAAAGATGAAAATTAGATTTTATTAATTTAATTTATTCTAGTACATACTATTAGGACACACTTCAGATTAGTGCAGATTTATTTTTTTAGTGCATAATAGATTTTATAGTGCATATTAGCTTTTATAATGTACACTACTTTCCATATACATGTACTGCATTGTTGATTTCAACATTACATTTTTATCATATAATTATACATATAATTTTATTTTTAGTAATTTTATGCTAATAACAAGAAAAACACGATTTACCGATGGGGTTAGGATTTAAATGATTCAACATTCTCTGTAAATTTATTTTAAGGAAGCTATTTATTTAAAAATAAATAATATTATTTTTTTTTGTGGTGCATACTAGATTTCATTGTGCACATTAACTTTTATAACTTTTTATACTTTTTGAAGTACATCCACTGCATTGAAAACTGTTTTTAGCATAAAATTCAGTCGATCTGTGCTTTAAAAAGAAAGAAAGAAAAATTTACCAATGGGGTTAAAAGAAAAATGAATAAATATTCATTGAAACTATTTTAAGATTGTTAGGATATTTTGAATACTTATTTTTGTAGCGCATAACAGACAGACATAACAGCATTTTTTTCTTGTTTTCTACTAAAAAAGGGTTGAAATTCGTTAAACATAATTAGAATTAAAAAAAAAATTCCATTGCCAATTTTTTTTCTTTTTCTTGTTTTACAAATAAAAATCACTGTATTTTAGTACATTTGTGCTTCAAACAAGCAAGAAAAAAAAACATTTTCTGAAATTAATTTACTTAAAGGGGTCATATGATGCGATTTCAAGATTTCCTTTCTCGTTGGAGTGTTACAAGCTGAATCAGCGACTGTAAGTATGTTTTGTTATTAGTTTAAGTATCTTTTTATTTTTTAAGTTTGCTATTGACTGTTCAAATGCGGAGTTTTGCGCAGCGCAGAGTAACGCGTCGTGTGTGTGTGTGTGAGGGGAACAGGGTCACATCACAGGAGAGTGAACTGCCTGTCAGAAATCATAGCATGTCAGCTGTCTTAACCGCGGCTTGTGTACTGCATCATCACTGTGTCTGTCACGCGACTCTGTTGCCCTTTCGGGCTTGAACTGATGGTAAAACTAACAACATTATTAACTGTCTTGATATTTACTTTGAAAGCTTGAAGCTCGCGATTATGGTAAGGGGCGTTACATTTCCGACGCGTGCTTGTGGTGTTCGGCCAATCACAATGCACTGGGTCAGCTGGCCAATCAGAGCAAACTGCGCTTGTCAAAGGAGGGGGCTTTGTTGAAAACGACGTGTTTGAGAGAGGCGGGGCATAGAGGACCTACAATAATGTACAGTATTTGAAAAATAATGTGTTTTTTGAACATTAAAGCATGTCAACATATTCTGTTACACCACATACACAAAATAATGATCTTTAAAATAGCATCATATGACCCCTTTAAAGGATGTTTAGATATATTTTGAATACATATTCTGTAGTGCAAATTAGAGTTTTTTAGATTGTAGCGGGTGAGAATGTAGCCCTTGTGTAAGAGCTGCACAGATGAATCACAGTTTAATGAATCAGGACTTGTCTGAAAGTTACTTACGGGTGTTAATATGTTTATGCTCATTCCTCTAAACTGATGGTCCTTGCATAAAATTGGTCAGAGACAAGTTTTGGACATCTAACACCTTAATACCTTTACCAAATCAGTCCACAGAGATGATAGATGTACTTATGAAATATCGCCACAGCATTCCTTTCTAGTCACTTTCTCACAGAAAGTCAAAAATCACATTCACATGAGTCCTCTGGTCAAGCCAGCTGTACGTATTTTGCCCTTTATGGTTTGTTTGGTCATCTAACATTTATAGTTATGACAGTTCAATGTCTTTACAAGTGGTAGCAAGCTTAATTCTTAATTTCTGGCTAGTTTTTGCTCATTCCATCAGACTCTTCATCATCCTTTATTAATGATTAAGATTTGCTTTGTTTAGTGTATTAAATATGCATCATGGTTGAAACAAAGATTGACCCTATGGCACATGTGATATAAAGTTTGAACCACTAGAGGGAAGCAGAGGTCAACGACTCTTTGCGCCAATAACCATAAATGGAGTGCTTAATCTAAATAAATAATTTCCTTTCAGATGTACGACATCTGCATTTTTCATGTTTAACAAATCAAACTGCACTTAATGTATCCGAAAACAACGCAGAATCACATGCTGTTCAACTAACTTCCACAGAAATCCCAAAAAGTGAGGTACTGACCTGCCAGGAAAAGTGCATTTGACGGACAGGACAGCGAACACACCTCCCCTCCACCTGTCTTGGTGCAGCTAAGCTGAGCACGAGGTGTCGGCTTTCCATTCGGGAGGCATTTTACCGCCTCTGAGGGACAAGCGAGATGCGTTACCATGGAAACGGCAAACATTATGGGATATTTCGAGATGAGGAATGAAGGGAGGACTCACCAACACAGTCTTTCTTGTTCCAATGGAGCTTTTGACCAGGAGGACACACACACTCGTAACTGCCCGCTGTGTTAACGCAGCCATATTCACAGCTCCCATTATTAATGCTGCACTCGTCAATATCTGTCACACACAGATGTCAGTTTGAGTATCAGATTGTGATTTTTCATATTTAAAAGAGTGAGAACCATTGGCTGGTTTTGAGATTGTGAACTCACCGCCGCAGTGTGTGAGGCCATACAAACTGTGACCTTTGTGACACACACACTCAAAGCTTCCCGGGTAGTTGATGCAGATGTGGTCACATGTCCTCTCAAAGGAGCACTCGTCAATATCTGCAGAGAACAAACAAAGAACACAACACCATCAAAGCAAATCACATGTGTGTAATAATTTCCTGGCTTGCAGTAAAAATGACCACCAAAAAAGGTGATTTCATCAGGATCTTTGGATATTCACCATCAGTATCCTAAAAGACAAAAAACAGCCTACTCTTTTTATAAGGGAATTATAAATCACAACCATTTATAATTCCAAACAAAAGTAATTTTTGGCATACATAAATTGCACATCATAATGATTTGGCACATCTGTTTTTTTGACAATCTTCTTTTAAAAGTGACCCATATCCAATATCTGTACTTACACTATACACTTGCCAAAACAACCCAGTGTAGACATACTGACCCGGGAACAAGGTTGCCAGGTCTGTGAAACAAAACCAGCCCAATTGCTAATCAAAAAATTAGCCCAGTCATGTTTGTTTTTTTCTCCTCCGGCGAGGGTCTCCTCCCTCGAAATCACATTCCGGGGGTAGGAGATCACTTTAACCCACAAACCAAAAAACAACCTGCAGTAACAGTGAATAGAAACATTTTGCAGGAAAACCATGGACTTGGCAACAAGGGTCCACCTGAGTTGACGTCAAACACCACCGTCTTTTTTTTCCAATGGCATACGTACAACTCATTAACAGGGGAATATCCAATGTATCCAATTCATATCTGATTTATTTCCACAGATGAATAATGCCTGAAACCGATCTGAGAAGATAGATAGATTGTCTGGCATCAAGAGAATAGAAAAGTAAATAAATAATTCAAAGCTAAACGTGTAGCTATAAAAATAAAGCAAGGGATAATATACAAAAAGAGATAAGAATGACAAAAAGAAAGACAGATAGATCAGCTTAGCAGAGTTGGCATAGCCAAAACATAGCGCTTCACCAACACACCCCTCAATAAAAACACATACACACCCCACACATTGATAGCCAGGAATAGGGTGGTTTTGGTTTAGCTTAATAAAATTATTTCAGTTTGTACTGCCACTCGTGCTCCGACATACTTTCAGGAATCTGCCACCATTCACCTCCAGTAAACTCAACTAAACACACACACCTCATACGACGCAAAACGCCTGCCAGCATCCCAACCAAACAACAGCCAGTCCATGAGGTGCTTCTGATGGGACAGTGTGTGTAGATGGCTTCTCTAATCACATGTCGACCAATGTAGGTATCAGTAGATTTAAAATACTAGTCCACCCCAAATTTAAATTCTTCAAATGAAAATGAAGATATTTTGCAGAAAGTTAATGCTGCTCTTTTCCATACAAAAACAGCAGGCAGTGAATGGTAAGCGTCCAGCTCTGAATTTGGAAAAAGCACCAAAAAAGTACCACAAAACTGTATTTGCACTATTTTCCAAATCTTTGGAAATCTTTAAGTTGTACAGATATTTAAGTCGCTATTCAGAGAAATGTCAAGCTGTTATTGTCCAAGTATGAGTGCAATTTGAGAGCTACAGTGGAAAGGTAGATGTTTAGCAAATTAAAAACTACATAAATTAATAAATAAATCATAAATCTATCATTTTTAGTCATGTATGAAACGTTTATTGTTATTTTTGGAGCTTTAAGTTGTTGTTTGTATAGGAGCAGCCTGAACATTTTGCTAAACATCTCCTTTTTTGTTTAACAGAATAAAACTACAGTGAAGAGGAAGATTCTCACTCAGTTAACAACATTTAGGTCCATTCTGATATTTTTGATACTTTTGATTGATACTTGAGCTTGAAGTTGTATAACTAAGTATAAGAGCAGTCTGAACATTTTGCTAAATATCTCCTTTTTCGTTCCGTAGAAGAAAGCAAGCCATATGGCAGAATTTTTACCTTGGGGTCAACAATCCCTTTAAGATGAATCATAAAGTGTCATAGTCGTAGACCCACGAACATCTAAAACCTTAATTTGAAAATCCTCCCAGAAAGCAGAAACAATGTAGTGTGAAAAGTGACCCACCTTGACAGGTGCGTTCGTTAGTCAGGAGTTTGTGTCCTTTCTGACAGCTGCACTCAAAACTGCCCACTGTGTTCCGGCAGAAATGATCACAACCTCCGTTATTCTCCAAACATTCATCGATGTCTGCAAAGAAGAGAGAGATAATGATAATAATGGTGAATAACTGATATGGGGGTGTAAAACCAGTACAAGTATTCTCATAAACAGCTTTTTGGATATATAAACAGTTTTCCTAAACAGGCAGCCACATACACAGCTCCACAACATCATCTTAAATATATCAGCCAATGCTGGCACACCATCCACAAACCCAATAAAAGCTAATCCCATCAACAAATGTGTAGGAAACTGTGTGTGTGTGGAGTTTGGGGTTTCCTCTGCAGTTATTTCAGTAGCTGCAGCAAACACACGCTGGCTCAGGTTTGCACTAATATTAACTGAACTGAGGTGGGACAGAAAGTTTCCACCAAGCTTAAGACCACACAGATAAACATGCTAACTGAACATGGGGCGGCACCGTTAAACAAGGCGGGTAACATGCGTCAATTTACACAAATTTCCCAATCATTATGGTTTCATTTTACACAGATTCACATTTTAATATTAAGTATACTAAATACATTACCATTTAAATGTTTGAGATCAGTGCAATCTTTTTTTTTATGAAAGAAAATAATACTTTTACACTGCAAGCATGCATTAAATTTATCAAATTTGACAGTGAAAACTTGATATACATTGATAATAGTAATAATAATAATGTTTCTTAAATAACAAATCAGCATATTTGAATGATTCCTGAAGGTTCATGACAATGAACACTGGAGTAATTGCTGCTAATAATTCAGCTTTGCCATAACAAAAATAAATGATAATTTAAAATACATTAAAATACAGAACATTGTAATAAAATTACATAATATTACTGTTTGTTACTGTATGTTTGGTCAAATAAATGCAGCCTTGGTAAGCAATTTTTTCAAAAACAAAAAAAATTCCTAGCGACCCAAACTTTTGAACAGTATAACCAAAGACCTGTAGCATACTTTTAAAATGAATTATTTAGAAAAATAAATAAATAAATAATCTGAAATGTAGTGCAAAAGTCTGAGATCACTACTGAAAATGGTGTTAATTAGCATATTTTCATTTTTCCCCACAACACCAATTTCCAATAATACTTTCCAATAATTATTATATTATATAATTGCATAAAAATAAAAACATGATCTATTACATTAAAATACAACTCTAATTTTTAATGATGTATTGAATGAAATAGCGCATAAACGTTTTATATATAAAAAATCTAACAAAAGAATAACACAACATTTAATTTTATATCATAATCTTTCTTTGTTTTAAATTCATCAAAATTCTAAAACTTCCTGTTTTTCCAGGTTTAAATTAGAATTCGAATAGCAAATGTTCAATGTGGTCTCAGACTTTTGGATCCCACTGTACAAAATAGACTTAAACAGGTAACCTTGGGTATTAAATGTCAAATAGTTGTACACCAGTGTGCAAAAAAGTTACACTGTGCCAGCTAGAATGAAAAATATGAATCACTCTCTTTTAAACAACTGGAAATATACAGCATTTGATTTATATGATTATATTCTTCCTGTTTCAGTGTCCATCACTCAAACTGGAGCTGTGACCACAATTTACCCTGCTGGCTTTAAAATCCACATAATCTTAACCATTTTACAACGCCTGAATCATTCATCTCTACAGCTCTATTTCTCCAGAAGACAGATTAACAGAAAGAGAGCAGTAAGACTGGAGAATAACCTCCCTAGAAGTTTGCGTCTTTTGACTGATGTGTTAAATGTTGAGACGATGGAGATTACAGGACGAACAGCTCAGGGCCTCCTAATGTTAAGCTAATATTGATATAAATATTAAAAATAATACTTAAAATAGTCTGCTTTTCTTGTCTCAGTCTGTGTGTCTTGACATATTAAACGTCCTCAGGATGTCGGCAGCATCAGAAGACTCAAGCTGGCTGATAAAAGCAAGTTTGAGCCCTAGTTTGTGACCTAGAGGAAGTGCTTTATCATCTCTGTCAGCTTATTTCCTGTCTACCTCTCAGTTAAAGATGTAAAGTTCAGTTATTTGCTCTATATTTCCATTATAAGATTGGTGGAGAGCACAGACATGGAAATACATGGCACATTACTTGTGATACACGGTTGAATATTTTTGTATAAATGTGTAAAAACCTTTAGGCAACACACAAAGCTAAAATAAAATAAAGTTAACCAGGACTAATCAGTCTATTTTCTGCCAACCTGTTTAGGTTAAGATGTTCTACAGTCGTATTAATATATCCTCAGAATCTCAACACTGAAAAGATGTCGTCTAGGTGCTTCATAACTATTATAACATCACGCTGATTCATTAACAGAGCAAAAACATTATAGCGCAAATGACATAATGGAATATTTAACAGTGATTTAGCATTCACACGTCCCTTATACACACACACATGCACTTTATTCCAATGGCTCCTTAGCGCAGGCAGGGGGCTAATGATATTCCACATAATGAAGTTTAATGAGACTAAATAAGCTTTGAGTTTAAGCAAACATTGGACATTTTTCACATCTGTAAATGATAAACAACTGCAGGGGCGAAGACCGAGAGGCTGCGAGGATTCATCTACATCGATTTTCGATCGGAATTGAGGAGAGCAAACACACACGGCACTCAGAAACGTCCTTAAAAAACAAGTGCTACGCTAACCTGATCTGATTCGAAAGCAAGCAAGCAAGCTTGCAAGAAGAATGTGGAATCCCCATGAGCTTGTCTGTACTCAGGGATGTGTGTAGCCTTAGCAAATATTTAGAGAAAAAAAGCAATTAAAATGAATACATTTGTGGAAACATGAACCTCTACAAATAAGTTGGGACAGAGTTTTCAACAAAAGGAGCGTTTTTGCAGATCGTTTTCAGGCTGCTCACCTCAGGCTAGCTAATCTCTGAGAAATGCGCCGTTGAGCGCGCCAGTGTATTTTTTTGAGATTTAAATGGCCTGTTTTATTTGCTTTGTTCATAAAGGGATTTTGCCATGTAATAACACAGGCGCTGCTTGTCCAGAGCCGCCAGGAAAAACCAGCGTGATTTCACCCCCGACACTATAACTCTTCGGAGCGCATGGGGTCCGTCGGGGCCGGTGTCATTCGAGGTGATGCCGACTGGCTGCTATTGTGCGGATTACTGGGCTCGGCGTGTATTAATACAAATGGATCCTCTGTGCCAGAGCTCACTGTCCCGATTAGAGAGAGAACTGGAGAACTGATGGAGAAAACAGGCCTGCTATTAGAGCTGCACGATTAATCGAATGTGATTGTCATGCGTATCTTGTCAGTAAAGCCGGTTCTGTGATTAGTAGTAAATCTCCAGCACGTGCTTTCAGATGGAGCAGCATTTACTACAGAGCCGTAGTTCACTGACAAGCTATGCAAAATCGCGTTCATAATCGCAGACAATTTAATCGTGTGATTATGAAATCGAAGAAATTGTTCCGCGATTATGAAAGCTGTTTGCGTAGCTTGTCAGTGAACTACGGCTCAGTGTAGTAAATGCTGCTCAACCTGAAAGCACGTGAAAATACCACATTTAATAACATGTTTTTACTCCAAACTCACTTCATAATGTCAGTCGAGTGTTTGAAATAAATCCTTCTGTGAGATGATGTGGCTTCTTACAAGAATAAGGCACGCAACATATTTCATAGTATTCTAAGCAGTGATAAAGTCTATGTCTGCATTATTATATACTTTATTATAATAACAATTATAATAAGACAAACTCAGATAAACCATATATTGTCGTTTATTAGTCACGTTGAATTAATGAAAGCAATTAAATCTTGTTTATTCAGCAACAGCTATAGCAGGGTTGCCAGGTTTTCACAACAAAACCCGCCCAATTGCTACTCAAAACTAGCCCAAAAGCGTTTAGAGGGGGGTCCCCCAATAAAAATTGCATTCTGGGGGATAAAAACAAGTTTTTTTGGCGGGGTTCCCCTGGTAAAATTAGCATTTTAGGGGCTAAATTTCACATTATTGGGGTCCCTTCAACCCGCAGACATGAAAAACATGAAAAACAACCCGCGGCAACAGTGTTAAAGTAGCCCAATTCCACGGGGAAACCTCGGACTTGGCAACACTGCGCTATAGGGATTTCCTGGGTTCTGCGAGGCATATTTGGAGTTTCCGCGCGAGAGCGCCCTCTGGCCTTCGGATGGAGATTTACTGCTGATCACAGAACTGTGCTTCACTGAAAGATACGCATGACAATTGCAGCTTCTGCCTAATCGCGATTTATCGCCTTTGCGATTTAATTTCGATTAATCGTGCAGCCCTACCTGCTATGACCCTTGCTATGACCCTTGCTTACTTAGAGTATAAGGACAGGTGAGCTTTCTGAAAAGACCCCAACAGCATAAGATCTGGTCAGAACAACACTGCATATGTATCAAAAATCACTTACTTAGACAGGAGGAGATCAGACAATCACAGATCATAACAGACCTGCATCTTTGCAAAAGAGTGTACAGAAAATACAGAAAAATAGCAAAATTTGTGCATTTAATTTAATTTAATTTAATATTTTATTCTACTATTTTTTTTATATTTTGTGAGTTTTCATGCAATTTAAAAGTAAAAAGAACAGTCAGTTTCAAAAATCTAACTCGGAAAAAAGTTGAATATTCAGTTCTGCTCACAGGTATGTAATTAATTTGCTTCTGAGTTCCTCAAACAAAACTGAATATCTTTTTAATTCTGAATGTCTATTTCAATTCTACTAACCTGGACAACCTAAAATTAAATAACTGTAGTGCAGGAAAAATCCAAACTATATTTTCCAAATTATATTTTCCAAATATTTGTGTAAAATTATTTATTATTAGTTTATTAATTTACATTTTATAATAATAACACTACTACTACTACTACTACTACTAATAATAATAATTATGATAAATGTAAGAATTATTATTATTATTATTATATTAATTATTATGCTTATTTTTATTATTATATAATGATATCGCATTATTATTATTATTAAAAATGAAATGTTGTTTTTATTAATAAGTATAATAATAATGAT